TGCTCAAATTTCCTTATCAGAGATTTAAGAAACTCTTTTGAATAGCTATTTGCTTTCTTCTCATTGCTTTTTTTTCTTTTTTACTGAGAATAATTGCATGAGATCAAGTAACCTTGTTCCTTAGGAGATCATCTGCTCCTGCTGCTCATTTACCATCTGAAATCATAATCATCTGTTGGTGACAATCTAATCATCCTCATAGTAACTAATTGTGATGTCACAAACAAATGATTATGATTTCAGGTGGTGAACAAACAGCAGGAGCAGATGTACTCTGAAGAACAAAGACTGTAAAGTCATGCATGAATCCCTAGTAATAAAACGTTAGGCAAGAAAAACAAAGAGCCTGTCCATTACAGAGACGTACAATTGCTCAAAATGTATTTTTTTGTTATTACTAATTTTTCAATACTTATTTTGTGACTTCCCAAATTGCTGGAAATAGACAAAGGAAAACTATACTATGAAAAATTGAGGGTGGAGAACATACAAAAGCAGTCAGGGTCATTTTTTCCTTCTTAGATTTATAATACTTTTATGCTACTTTTTCCTTTTATTTCATATATTTTTGTTCTTCATTGCTCATCTACAGCTTCTCCTAAAACACATACTGTATGATGCTTGTGACTAACTCATCCAGAAATATAAAACCAAAATATGTTCCCAAGAAAATGCACTTTGCATTAGGATTGTTTATTTGTTCCATGTTTTGTTTTTGTTGATAACTGCTTAAGTCAAATCCAGAGAGATAAATGAGCATTCTGTTGACAGTAAATATCTCCTGTATGGGCTGCAAATGCTTGTGGTCTGCCCACAGTGTCTCAAAGTCTCTTCCCTATGCATCAGGGAAAAAACCTCACTCAACGTTCTTGTTAGTTCACGTGTGAAAAATGTCTAAGATCTTCCAAACGAAGAAACAAATAGCTTCTTGTTTCATCTTTAAGATTGTGAAATGAAGAGGAAAGGCAAAGTAATCCTGTGGCAAAAAGCTTTGCCAATGAGTAGGAGGAACAGAAGTGTGCCACAAGGACAGTTGCAAAAGTAACATGATAGAAGGGAACAGAAGTTAATTTTCGAGGGTATTTAATAGGGAATACTAAAGATGCATTGAGCAAGTATGTAGGAGGATAGAGACTGTAGGGTATTTCTGAGCAAAACCAAACTACATAATAAGGGTACAACGAAACCTGTTCTTCGACTGTACTAAAATATATAACTGTTACGATTTTTGGTTTTGTTGCACTGAAGTACACAACTTCACTGTACTACTCCAGTTTTATTTCACATAGCGTACACAAAGAGAGAGTACCTGCCTGCAAAAGGAAATTAATGTACAACACATTGTGCCAGCAGGACACTATTGTTTTCCTGGAATAAAATTACTGGAAATCTGAGGAAGAGCTGCCAAATGGTAGACATAGCAATCTCAGAGCCTTGGATTTTCAAGATCACGGAACGTTAGGTTAACAACAAATGCAAACTGTACATTTCTCTTATAAGCAAGGATATAGAAGGAAAGAAGCTGCTCCATTTGACCTCTTTAAAACTTCCTACAATAGTGACGACACTGCAAGAGTAGATCCACCTACCAACAACTGTTGTTCTTAAATATAAACTAGCATATTCATACATGAAAGGCTGTGACATTTTTGATATCAAACAGTGGAACTTGTTTGGAACTGCCTTAAAAAATCCCTGCATTTCACAGGCACATGAGAGATTACGCATTCAAGTGAATTCTTTTATTCAAAAGTAGAAGACACTTCAAATTTCTTCAGTTCTCCTTGACTATAAAGCTCTGAAGTTATTTTGCACCCTGGGGCTTAGGGGAAGATCAGCAGGTGTGTGTAGG